CTCAGAAAAGAGGGTGTGTACAGGATCCGGTTGTTTTGTTGTAATCCGCTTTCCCTTGCAAAAAACAATAGAAAATGACATTTCTTGTTCTAATATAATCAAATTTCAAGAATCCCTTGCAAAAAATAAGGTAAAGTGGACATTCGCGCGCGCAAGACGAAATCCTTCCAAAACCTTAGTGTTCGCAGCGATTTTAACATAAAAACATCAAAAAACCAATGGTTTTTCAACAAAAAATTGTCAAAATCTCATCCCGCGCGCTCTTGCGGATTCGTAGGAAACCCAACACTTTTTAAACATTTCTGTCAAACGGGCTTTTGCGAGCAACTTTTTCGAACTTCTGCGACAACGGTTGCGCACCTGCCAGGGCCATCATCCCTGTCAAATAATACCATGCGGGACACATTCGTTTTTTCTTCGCGCGCGCACGCCGTCGTCGTCGGCCGCGGGGCCCTGAATAGTAGCCACGGTCGTCCGCATGCCACGAAGTGAAGTGTCCGAACGTCATAGGGCGGGAAGCTGGGTGTGGGTGGTGGCGAAGAGTCGTTTGGAAATTTGGTAGAGCTTGAACCGGCCCCCCCACAAAGTGGGGGTATTGCCCGCCTCCTATGAAAACCCTGGCACTGGTGAGAACGGAGTGTCCCCACGTGCTAGTAATTGTTGTTGTTGTTGTTGTTGGTGTTGGTGTTGGTGTTGTTGGTGTTGGTGTTGGTGCTGGTGCTGGTGTTGGTGTTGGTGTTGGTGTTGGTGTTGGTGTTGGTGTTGTTGTTGTTGTGTGTTGAACATTATTAATTCTAAAGAATAATTATTGTTGGGGCCCCTGGTGCACGGCCCCCCTGCGCCGCCTAGGCCGCAGCTACATTTTCATCATTTTCGTGAGGAAGCCTCAGGTAATTCGATGTGATCAAGATCCGGTTGTTTTGTTCCCCCCCGCTTTCCCTTGCAAAAAACACTATAAAATGACATTTCTTGTTCTAATATAATCAAATTTCAAGAATCCCTTGCAAAAAATAAGGTAAAGTGGACATTCGCGCGCGCAAGACGAAATCCTTCCAAAAGCTTAGTGTTCGGAGCGATTTTAACATAAAAACATCAAAAAACCAATGGTTTTTCAACAAAAAAATGTCAAAATCTCATCCCGCGCGCTCTTGCGGATTCGTAGGAAACCCAACACTTTTTAAACATTTCTGTCAAACGGGCTTTTGCGAGCAACTTTTTCGAACTTCTGCGACAACGGTTGCGCACCTGCCAGGGCCATCATCCCTGTCAAATAATACCATGCGGGACACATTCGTTTTTTCTTCGCGCGCGCACGCCGGAATGTGAGTACGTATCATGTGTATCATGTGTATCATGTACCATATGCATCATATGCAACAGATGTTCTGTGGAAGGCTTAACAACTTCTGTGGGTTAACAAGGCTTAACAACTTCTGTGGGTGTACGAACGTAGGCTTAACAACTTCTGTGGGTGTGTACTCCACGCCAGTGTAGTAGCCACGGTCGTCCGCAGGCCACGAAGTGAAGTGTCCGAACGTCATAGGGCGGGAAGCTGGGTGTGGGTGGTGGCGAAGAGTCGTGTGGATATTTGGTAGAGCTTGCACTGCCCCCCCACAAAGTGGGGGTATTGGCTGGCGTCGCATGAAAACCCTGGCACTGGTGAGAACACTGAGCGTTCGGGTAAAGTGATTGTTGTTGTTGTTGTTGTTGTTGTTGTTGGTGCTGCTGCTGCTGCTGCTGTTGTTGTTGTTGTTGTTGTTGTTGTTATTGTTGTTGTTTTTGTTATTGTTCTTGTTATTGTTCTTGTTCTTGTTATTGTTGTTGTTGTTGTTGTTGTTGCTGTTGTTGTTGCGGTTGTTGCTGCTGCTGTTGTTGTTGTTATATGTTGTGGTGGAGGCCGTGGCGGTGATGAAGACTGTGGTGGTAGACTGATGATAGTGGTGATAGGTGTTCTCCGTCTCTGCAGCGTGCCGATCCTCCAGCGCGCCCGTCAAATTCTGAGCTCAGGCCGATGCAGCGGCGCCCATCTCCTTTGGCTGGAGCTCGGCAACCCATTCGAGCTTGCGCACGATGTGCTGCGACGCTGCCCTGCTGCCCGCTGCCCTGCTGCCTTACTGTCCCTGATGTTCTTGATGAGTGTCCAGCTGCCTGCGGCAAGTCCCGCCACCGTGCCGTGCCAGTCCAGCATTCTTCGGGCGATCTTTCAGGCCTTTTTGGCCGCCTTCAGCGGGTGGAAGCCTCGAAACGTGAGAATCCAACAACCGATGGAAACTCCAATGGGAGACAAGTGGTTTTTGTCTCTTCGAGCCCTCTGGCCTCCTGAGCCGTCAATGGGGCCTTCGTGAGCAATCATGAGGCCCTCATGGGCTGTCACGGGGCTATCTCTGGCCCTCTTGGAGCCATCTTTGACTATCTTGGAGGCTTCTTCGTGCGTCTTTGCTGCCTGTGTGGCTGTCCTGGGCCTTCATGGAAGCCCAGGAGAGCTCCAGGATGGCACCGCGGCCGCTCAGGGACAACCAGGAGTAGTAGTGGTGCACGCACGCGGGTGCATGTAACGGGCCCTCTTGCGGCGATCCTGGAGGCTTCCTGGGCCGTCTTGAGCGACCCGGAGCCCAGAAACATGAGAATGAAAGAATCAAGGAACATCCCGAGGACAACCATTTGTTGTTGTTTCCTCGGGCCCTCTGGAAGCTCTTCCCGGGGCCTTTTGGAGCCGTCATGCCGCTTCTTTGAGCCATTCTGGGCGTCATGAGGCTATGTTGGGCCCTCTTTGAGCCAGCTTCGGCCGTCTTGTAGCCATCTCGGGCCGTCTTGGCGGTCTGGTTGGCTTTTCTGGGCCGTCTGGGCTGACTTCCGAGGCCCCAGGGAACCGCCACGGCCAACAAGGATCCTTAGGGAGGAGGGTCGGTGTACGCGCAAGTCTGTGGCGAGAGGGGGGGGGGCCCTCAGGAGCCTAATTACAGAAACCCTGCCAGGGAGCACCTTGCATTCTTCCACACCTCAACGTGCCAGGAGGCACGGTGGCGGATTCTTTATGTGGTGGTAATGATGGTGGTGGTGAGTGTCATGATGATGCAACGACGACGATGATGATGACAATGTGAAAACGGATAATGATAAAGATGATGATGGTAATGATGATGATGCGGATGATGATGATGATGATGATGATGATGATGATGATGATGATGATGATGATGATGATGATGATGATGGCGATGACAATAACGACGACGATGACGATGACGACGACAATGAGGATGCTGTTGATGATGATGTGGATGATGCAGTTGCGGAAGATGATGATGATGATGTTGATGCTGATGATGTTGATGGTGATGTTGATGATGGTAATGATGGTACGCTTGCTGATGATGGTGATGCTGATGATGCTTATGTGATGGTGATGACGTTTTTTTTGATGGTGGTGATGACGATGATGATGGTTATACTTGTGATGATGCTGATTTGGCTGTTGATGATGATGAGCATGGGAGAGATGACGACAATGATGATACTGAGGATGAGGATGCTGATCACGATGGCGATTACGATTTGATGATGATGTTGCTGCCGATGATTGTGATGATCTTAATGGTTGTAATTGTGTTGCTGCTGATGCTGATGATGATGCTGATGCTGATTCTTATTAGACTGATGATGATGAGGAGGATGATACTCGTGGCGATGATGATCATGATGATGCTGCTGATTATGATGATGCTGATGTTGATGGTGCTGCTGATGATGCTGATGGTGATGATGATGAGGATGCGGATGAGGATGATGATGATGTTGATGATGATGATGTTGATAAGCATGACGATGATCATGCTCATGATGGCGATGATGATGCTTATGACGACGACGATACTGATGATGATATTGATGATGAGTACGATGATGATGATGATGGTGGTGATGGTGGTGATGGTGATGATGATAATGATGATGATGATGATGATGATGATGATGATGATGATGATGATTATGATGATGATGATGATGATGATGATGATGATGATGATGATACTGATCATGCTGCAGATGATGCTGATGATGGTGATGATGATGATGATGATGATGATGATGATGATGATGGTGGTGGTGGTGATGGTGATGGTGATGGTGATGATGATGGTGATGACGATGATCATGATTCTGATGATACTGAAGTGCTGATGGTGATGATGCTGATGATGATGCTCATGATGCTCAGGATGCTAGCTACTGCTGCTGCTGCTGCTGATGATGATGATGGTGCTGATGATGATGATGATGATGATGATGATGATGATGACGATGATGATGATGATGATGATGATGATGATGATGCTGATGCTGATGCTGATGCTGATGCTGATGCTGATGCTGATGATGATGATGATGATGATGATGTTGATGTTGATGTTGATGATGATGATGATGATGATGATGATGATGATGATGATGATGCTGATGATGATGATGATGATGATGATGACGATGATGCTGTTTGTGCTGATACTGATATTGCGGACACGACAGGCATTCTGGCACGCCACAGCGTGCTGAAGGTACGACTGCGGATTCCTTCTTCCCCTTCTGCCTTCTCCTATCCTCCTCCTCTTTCCCCGTCCCGCCACGAGTCCCGGCGGCCAGGCGCTCTGCGTAAGCGAGCCCCTCCCGCCTTGCTCCCCCGTGTCCCCCGTCTCACCATCCTCCACATCATCCTGCTTCTTCTGCTGTGTCCGCTGATGCTGCTCTCCCTCCTCCTCCTCCTCCTCCTCCTCCTCCTCCTCCTCCTCCTCCTCTTCCCCCTCCTCCACCTCCTCCTCCTCCTCCTCTCCCCCGAATGTCTGACCTGTGCCTGGGTGTGGTACGACCAGAACTTCGAGAATAACCCGTTTGCGACGGCGAAGAGTCTCCCGAAGGCCCCAAAATTGGTGCCTCCAGCTTCGAGCCTCGCGGGGGAAATGGCGAGGGGGCGGGCAATTGTGCGCGGACCCCCTGCCCTGGAGGACGTGTGGCCCGGGGCCGTGGTCGAATTCTCGCTGGTGGAGCTCGGCAGGCCCATGGTCGGGCAGGCGAGCGTGGCAGGGGAGGAGGAGGAGGAGAAGGAGGAGGTAACGGAGGAGGAGGAGGAGGAGGAGGAGGAGGAGGAGGAGGAGGAGGAGGTCAGCAGAGGAGGAGGAGGAGGAGGAGGAGGAGGAGGAGCAGAAGGAGGTGGAGGAGAAGGAGGAGGAGGAGAAGGAGGAGGAGGAGGAGGAGGAGGAGGAGGTAACGGAGAGGGAGTACGATGACAATGGTGATAAGGACGATGGTGGCGCTCGTGTGGGTGATGCGAACGATGGTGATGGGTGATGTACTATGGTGGTGGCGATGACGGCGACGCCGGCGATGATGATACGGATAACGGTAACAATAGTAATACGTATAATCATAATCATAACACTAATGATAGTACTAATGGTAATGATGATGATGATTATGATGATGCTTATGATGATGTGTGTATGTTGATTATGGTGATGATGATGATGGCGATGCTGCTGATGACGATGCTCATGCTGATGATTATGATGATGCTGATGCTGGTCGTGTTGGTAATGATGGTGATGATGACGACGATGATGATGATGATGATGACAGTGGTGATGATGATGATGGTGGTGGTACTGATGGTGATGCTGCTGATTATGATATGGTGATGATGCTGATGATGTTGCTGATACTGATGCTGACGATGATGGTGATGATGCTGATGATAGTTGTGGTACTGGTGACGACGGTGCATGATGACGATGATGATGATGATGATGATGATGATGATGATGATGATGATGATGATGCTGATGCTGATGCTGATGCTGATGATGACGATGATGCTGATGCTGCTAATGATGCTGATGATGATGCTGATGCTGATGCTGATGCTGATGCTGATGCTGATGCTGATGATGATGATGATGATGATGATGATGATGATGATGATGATGATGATGATGATGATGATGATGATGGCCATGCTGATGATGATGGCCATGCTGATGATGACGATTGATGTTCAAGAAGCTTACGCCATTCCGCCGCCGCCCAGTAGAGGTGGAAAGTCCCCTGTTGAGTTGTCGTTGGCTCTTTTGGCACTATCTGGGGACTCTGATGGGCGTCTTGGGAGCTTTGGGTGCCTGGCAGAACCTCTTTGAGGCAGTTTTTAAACGTCTTAGGGCCCGTTATCGGTCCTTTTCTGGGCCTCTTGAGGCTGATTAGGAGCCTCTCTGGGGCCGCTTGGGGGTTTCTTGAGCGCTTTGGGGGGCCTCTTTGGGGGAAAGACTGGATGTTCGGTTCGCGTTCCCCCCTCTTTGCCTTTCTTGGGGCCGTCTTGGGGCGATCTTTGGCCGTCTTTGGGCCGTCTTGGAACCCTCGTGGGCCGTCCTAGGGCCCTCGTAGGAGCCTCTTGGGCAGTTTGGGGGCGGTCTACGGAACTACGGGGCCTCTAGGGCCGTTTTGAAGCGTCGGAAGCTCGAGAAGACGATAACCCCAGAAACAACGAGAAACCTTAGAACATCCATTGATTTTTGCCTCTCGGGGCCCTACTACTGGGAAGGCTCTATGGGCATCTCGAAGGCATCTTGGGGCGTCTTGGAGCCATCGTGCGCGTCTTGGGCCAATCGTTCCGCGATTCGGGGCCCGGGGCCGTCTTGGGGCGTTTTTGGGGTCACGGAAGGCCGATCTGGAAGCTCTGGAGCCTCCGGGGGTGCGCCGACGAGCCGGGATACACCTCCCCTTAAAACGAGATGTTGGACCTTCTGGGAGGCAGGGCTGAACCAAAACGGTGTCACTCGTTTTCCTTTTGTCTTCGTTCTCCCTCGCATCTGTCTCGAATCCGCCCTTACCGCAGAACGAAGTCGAGGCGAAAACGGCCCACGAAGTCGCCAAACACACCGTTTAGGTCCAGCCCTTCTGGGAGGGGGGGCTTGGGGGGAGGGGAACAGCCGATCGTCTCACACGCCTTCTCCCCCCCCGGGCAAGCGAGGGTCGGCGGATTTGTGAGGGCGAGGGCGGATGCACGGATGATGGTGAGGGTGGTGGTGATGAGGAGGGGCGGTGAGGAGGGGTTTGGCGACGATGACGGTGATGATGATGGTGATGATGATGGTGATGATGATGGTGATTATGATGGTGATGATGATGTTGATTATGATGTTTATGCTGATGATGATGATGATGATGTTGTTGATGGTGGTGATGACGATGTTGATTATGATGTTTATGCTGATGATGACGATGGTGGTAATGGTGATGAGGATGAGGATGAGGATGATGGCCAGTGATGATGATGAGGATGGTGGTGGTGGTGGTACCGTTGCAAATGTTTGTGATGGATGGCAATGATGATGGTGGTGGCGGTGACGTTGACGATGACGATGGCAAACACGGCGACGAAGACGACAACGACGTCAACGACGACGATGATGGTAATGACGATGCCAATGATGATGACGATGCTTAGGATTATGGTGGTGATGATGATGATTTTTACGATTCTGATGCTGATGGCGACGATTATGATGATGATGATGATGATGATGATGATGATGATGATGATGATGATGATGATGATGCTGATGCTGATGCTGAAGGTGACGATGATGAGGAGGAGGTGGAGGATACATGTGAAAACGCTGTTGCTGCTGCTGATGATGATCATGGTGATGATGATGAAGAAGAAGAGAGAGGAGGAAGATGAGGAGGAGGAGAGGGCGGTGGGGGAGGACGAGGAATATGAGGATGATGAGAGGAAATGGGGGAATGCAGAGGAGGAGGAGGAGGAGGAGGAGGAGGAGGAGGAGGGAATAGGTCGGTTCCGAATTTGCATGCGGTTGTTGTTGTATCCTCCCCCTCCTGTGGGCAGGCACTGGATTTTCAAAGTCACATCGTGTCCTTCGAAGTTCCGTCGCGTTTTCTCAGGGAAGAACGTCGGGCTCAAACTGTGCTTTTGGGTTCTGCAACAACGCCTGCCTTTTTCCACACCGGAGAGCGAAGATACCACTACAAGAGTGATGCCTTCCAGGCTCGTCTGCCATTCGCTGCTGCCTCTTCGTTTCCAGCGGCTAGCGGTGTCCAAAAAGTTATATCATATGAATACAAGTACCGTTCAGTGTAGCAGAGAAGCCCTGCTAGCACAGGAGAGAAGGGCGCACATGCATATCAGTGATGTAAGGGGCCTGCTGTTTTCGCTGATCAGCCTGACGCACAGGCCAGCGTTGGCACGGGTCGGGTGCCTGCGAGTTCTTCGGTACCCTGGGGAAGCCCAGGGCGAAGAATTGAACTTGCCATCTCAACCGTCGCTGGTGCCTTGATGTGCAGGCCAGTGTTGGTACTGTGACAGCATCGGCGAGTCCTGCGGCATCTGGGGCAATCTGGCGTCTGGATGCGGCCGCTTGCCACCATAGGTTTGCCGTCCGCGCCGGCTGGCACGAGCAGAACTCAGCGCTCGCCATCTCGCGGAGGAGCATGGGCAGCATGTTGCCAGAGCAAATGGGTTGAATCCAGCGCTGCGTCACAGTGCAATTTGGTCGTGCCCGCCTGGAGTGCGAGTGGTTCAGCGCGACGTTCGGCACGAGCGATCCTCCCTCTCCTCCTCTGGCGTTGCATCGCACTTCTAGGTAGAGTGGTGGTGCGCATGTGCGGGCGATCAGAGAGTACATGTTGCTTTTTGGATGCTGCTTGTAAGAGGATTAGGAGGAGGGTAACCCCATCCCCCGGATGATAAAGCATCCCCCCTTTTCCACCAGCATCTTTTTATTCACGGATTTGAATGTGGTCCAATTGAAATAGCAGGCGGGGCGGTCGAGCTTCATGATGTTATCCCCTTCCAAAGTCCCAATCCTAGACCTCATTGTGATGATGTCGCAGGCGAAACGCGATCCAGACACCCCCTAAAATCGAAAGCTCCAAGATCAGGTCTGTCCTTCCGCACGGCCCCGAACTTTCGTATGCCCAGGGGCCCAGGGGATCATTCTCACCAGCATGGGGTCATGACCCGGGGCGGCGAAAGGGGGCACGGAAGGCATGGACGGAGTAAGGGGCATCGACGTGTCCCTCCCTGAGTTCCTCTTCCTCCTCCTCCTCCTCCCAGACATCCGACGTTTCGATTTTTTCGAGACACGGGCCCCCGACCTCCCGACCACTTCCCCGGGACCGGTTCTTCACCCCGAGTCGTTTTTTGACGGTCCCGAGGCCCGGCGAGGGCCCCGAAAGGCCGAAAACGACGAAAAACCTCCGTCTCGATTTTTTTGAGACGCCCAATGCCTGGGCTCATCCTCCTCCTCCTCCTCCCTATCCCCCCTGACGTTGCCCCTTGGGCGCTGAGGCGGGACGAACGCGAACCCGCATGGTGCATTGATCGCCCCGTCGGGGCACGGGCGGCCCACCCCCGCCCAGGAGCGCGCGCCCCTCGCCACCGGGGGCCTCCTCCTCCTCCTCCTCCTCCTCCTCCTCCCTCCCTCCCTCCCTCCCTCCCTCCCTCCCTCCCTCCCTCCCTCCCTCCTCCTCCTCCTCCTCCTCCTCCTCCTCCTCCTCCTCCTCCTCCTCCTCCTCCTCCTCCCTTCTCCTCCTCCTCCTCCTCCTCCTCCTCCCTCTCCTCTTTCCCCTCTTCTCCTCCTCCCTCTCCTCTTTCTCCTCCTCCTCCTCCTCCTCCTCCTCCTCCTCCTCCTCCTCAGGCAGGGCTCAAGAGACGGTGGTCAGTGCAAACGGGGGTCAGCCAGGGCACCGGATCCTGCAGGATCCTGCGAGGATCCCTTCTGGCCGACCCGGGTCAGCGAGCCGCTCGTGGCCGCGAGGCGGCCGCGCATATTGGTTGACCCGGGTTTGCGAAACCCTGCGTTGCAGTTTTTTTTGTTTTTTTTCCCCGAGTTTCAGTTTTTCGGTTTCCTGCTGACCCGGGTCTGATTGACTCGGGTTAGCAGATCCCCGAAGCGTTCCCCGAAAGCACAGACAAGTTCTCAGCTGGCCGCCTGAGAAATCTCGTTGCCTTTTGAGAAAACGTCCTCCTTCTCACATCCCCCCTAGCTCGCCGCCGGCATCCATCGGCGATGTATCGTCGGTTCCAGGCCGATGTTTCCCCCCCCCCGTCCCCCTGAGCCAGCCAGTCTTTTCCCTCAGGCTTTCCTGATCAGAGGAGGAGGGTAGGAGGAGGATGACGCGCACGTCAGATACCAATCGTGTGGTCTCGCAGCCCCAGCTTGCCTTCTCTGTAAGAAGGATGCCGACTGGTACCCCGTGATCATGCATTGCTTTTTCTTAACCCCTCTGTTGTGTGCGTTCGAGGTGACGAGAACCACCACCACTCAGTGCACCCTGCGCTGCCTGGAGTTCTGGACTGGCGCTGCTACCTACAGGATCGTGTGTGAAGTAGGCGACTTTCCGTAAGTGCAGGGGGTGCTCTGTCAGCACTTGCGACGCTGCAGCAATACATTCTTACCTTGGTTCGGTGGAACCTTATGCAGTCGCAGCCTTATCCAGTCACCGCTTATATAGAACCCCGATGTTGCAGATAAGATTGAGGGTGCGGCGGGGTCGCCGGAGGTCTGCGAGGCCCTGATGAAGCCTGCCGCCAGCGCGGATTTTGTACGCTCCACACAACGAGCCAGTCGAAGCAATGCGGGTGGGTCGCGAGGTGGGTCGCGAGGTGGGTCGCAGGCGAGTCGTGGGGTGGGCGGCAGGGTGGGTCGCGGGGTGGGTCGCTGGGTGGGGCGCGGGGGGGTCGCGGGGGGGTTCGCGGGCGAGGACGACGACAAGAGACAACGAACAAGACGCAGAGTCCGGGCCACGGAATCCCACTGGACCCACGCACTTTGCGATGTTGCAAGACCCTTCGCCCACATCGTTGTGACAATGACCTCAAGATGCCATTAGATAGCGATGTAGTGCAGCGGTACTTCGGATGGAATGGAGTGAGAGCGGGGTACGGCACCGACTTCCGACCATATTGCATTGTCAGGGATCATGCTGATGCTCAGGATCAAACAAAAGTGTTCTGTGTGAAGGGAGTGCTTGTGGATACACACATATATATCACATATATATATATATATATATATATATTCAATATACACATACACCCGTAGCACCCCGCAGTTGCGAATAAGAGTGAGGAGGGGGGCGGGGACGTCTGCAGTCTGCGAGGCTCTGAGGAAGCCCGTCGTAGGCGCTTACATTTTACAATTTGAGCCCGCCGCAGGCGCCGATTTTTCGTCAAAGCAATGTGGGTCGTGGGGTGGGTCGCGGGTGGGTCGTGGGTGGGTCACTGGTGGGTCGCGGGTGGGTCGCGGTTGTGTCGCGGGCTGGGTCGCGGGTGGGTTCGCGGGTGGGTCGCGGGCGGGTCGCGGGTGGGTCGCGGGTGGGTCGTGGGTGGGTCGTGGGCGGGTCGCGGCGGGTCGCGGGGTGGGTCGCAGGTGGGTCGCGGGTGGGTCGCATGTGGGTCGCGGGTGGGTCGCGGGCGGGTCGTAGGTGGGTCGCGGGCGGGGCGCGGGTTGGGTCGCGGGTGGGTCGCGGGCTGGGTCGCGGGGGGGACGACGCCAAACAACAACAACACCACCACCAACAACAACACCAACATTAACACCAACAACAACACCAACAACAATAACACCAACAACAACAACCACATCAACAACACCACCACCAACAACAACAGCACCACCAACAACGACGACACCAACAACAACACCAACAACAACAACACCACCACAAACAACAACAGCAATAACAACAACACCATCAGCAGCAACAACAACAGCAACATCAACAACACCAATATCAACAACAACACCACCAACAACACCAACAACAACCACAACAACAGCAACAGCAACACCAGCACCACCACCAACACCATCAACACCAACACCAACAACATCGATCACGTTAACCTCATGTGCGATGCTTACACACGCAGCATGCGACCATCATGATACCCATCCTCATCTCGGGGGATTATTGTTCAATCGCGGGGGTCCGTTATTCCCATTCCCAGATCTCCCGCCCAATGAGGTCTTGCAACCACCTCCAAGGAATTTCAACAGATCCCGCCTCGACAACACATGCCCGCGCCGTACTGCGCCGATGCGAGACCGCCAGTTGCCAGCCAAGGGTAAAGCACAAGGAAGTATCGAGCGACAGGATTGGTTTGGTGGGGATGGGGGGCTGTCGGCGGCGAGGAAAGGACCTGGCCTTGAATAGAAAGGGAGGAAGTCTCGAGCAGGGGTGCTGTTGTTGCTGGGAGCGGCGCCAGTGCAGAAGACAGTTGGGCGCTAGTCCAGCGTAAAACGAAACGAAGTCTCGAGCGGCAGCGCTGGTTCTGTTGGGACGGCGGTTGTCGGCGGCGAGGACGAACACCGCCTTGAGTACGGCGGGAAGAAGTCCCGAGACTGTTTTGTCGGGACGGGGGCTGTCGGCGGCGAGCAAGAACACCGTCGTCAGGAAAAAGGGAGGAGGCCTCGAGCGGGAGCGCTGTTCGTGCTGGGGTCGGCGCCAAGTCAAACGAGAATAGGGCGCCAGGCCAGCGTAAAGCGGGAGCGTTGTCTCGGGCGGGAGCGCTGGTTTTGTTGGGGCGGTGGGTTTTCGGCGGCGAGCGACGGCACGGGCTCTGAGTAGAAAAAAGAGAATGTCTCGAGCGGGAGCGGTGTTTTTGCTGGGGGCGGCGCCGAGCGAAAGAGCAGCGCGCCAGTCCAAGGTGAAACGGGAAGAAGTCTCGAGCGGGAGCGTTGGTTTTGTTGGGGCGGCGGTTTTCGGCGGCGAGCAAAAACACCGCCTCTGAGTAAAACCAAAAAGTCTCGAGCGGGAGCATTGTTTTTGCTGGGGGCGGCGCCGATGAGAGAAAGGGTAGCGCGCCAGTCCAAGGCACAACGGGCAGAAGTCTCGAGCGGGAGCGCTGGTTTTGTTGAGACGGCTGCTTTCGGCGGCGAGCAAGAGCACCAGCCCTGAGTAAAAAAGGAGGAAGTCTCGAACAGGAGCGTTGTTGTTGTTGGGGGGCCGGTTTTGGCGGTCCCCCAAACCGCTTGAGAGTGAGCCTCATCTTCAATCAAAATGCAGCCGGCGCCTCTGCGAGAGCGCCAGGGCGCCTTTAAGGGGTCCAACAAAAACATTACCAACAACAACAACCGCAACATTAGCAACAACACAAACAGCAACAACAGCAGCAACACCAACAATAACAACAACGTCATTAACACCACTAACACTAACACTAACAACAGCAATCGTAACAACAACAACAACAACCGCACCAGCAACATCAACAACAGCAGCATAATTCACAACAGCAACAACAATGCCAACACCAACACAAACAACAACAGCATCCACAACAGCAGCAACAACAATATCAGCAGCAACAACAACAGCAGCAACAACAACACGCACAGCAACAGCAACCACAACATCAATAACAACCACAACCACAACAACACCAGCAACAATTATCCGCATCGCGCGATCCCTTCGGTCCCTTCGCTCTGACATTTGCCCTTGGGAAGTTTCGAGCCGCACTTGACTGGGGCGTCTTCGCCCAGCTGTGCAGTTGAGAGCATGAGGAAGATGAGGGAGGTGCACCACCAACGTTGCTTCCTTATTTGCCACTGTCCTCTTTTTCCACTCTCTATGCCTGCCCGAAGAGTCAGTGTGCTCGAAATCCCGAATGCAGGTTCAGGTGCAGACATCGAGGAATCCCCCCTTCTCCCTTCCTCGTCTCGTTTCCTCTCTCCTCCCTCCTTCTCTCTCCCTCCTCCCTGCTACCTCCTCCCTCGTCTGTCCTGCCTCCCTCCTCCCTCCTCCTCCTTCCAGCCTCATCTCTTCATCTCCCTTGTCCCTCCAAGCTGTCAGCAGGAGGATGAGTACAGGAGGAGGGAGGGAGGAGGGAGGAGGGGGTCGAGCAGATGACTCGAGGCCCCAGCCGTGGTGACACTCAGCAGACTGGGATAGCTCGACGCTGCCGCCACTATGCCGCCGTTGTCGTCATCGTGAACGCCTGGCGCCGTTAGAGTCGGCAGCGTTCGCACCTGCCCCATCACCAGTAGTAGTTCCTAGGAGATCGATTTCTGCCCTGTCCTTGGGCCCATGGCGTTCGCCTCGCGTTGTTGAGGACCCCTCCCCTACCAGTGGCCTGTTGCGCTGTTGCGCGCTACGGGGTGGGGTGAGGGGACGAGCGTGTGTATGTGTATATGTTGGGGTGCACGGGGGCGCTACACGAGAGGATGCGGACATGACTGGCGTTGCGTTTGATTGGCGGGGGGGGTACTGGGGCGTGCGTGTTCTGCCCTGCTTCGTTACGCTGTGACTCCAGTCTCTCACGCTGCACGTGAGGACTCACGCTCTTTCCAGTGCCTTTGCTGCCGCAGGCTGTGCCAAGGCCGGCTGCCGGCGGCCAACCCCGCCGCCGCCGTGGCAGCGCATCCGTGCATCAGCGCCTCATGGAGGATATTCACCCTCGAGACCCGCTCAGGTGCAGACAGGTCGCTGAACTGGAGCGGGTCCAAAAACACCCCCGCCTCGTCCGCAGCATCGTTCTCTTTCTCCCTCCCGATCGCTCCTCCGCCTCTTTCCCGTCCTCTCTCCCCGCCCCCTTGTACGCATTCTGGAGGCTTCTCTGGAGCCTCTTGATCCTTGGTCCTCTCTCGGAGGCCCCTTAGAGCCGTTTTGCCAGCCCTTGAGGAGGAGGAGGAGGAGGATGAGGAGGAGAAGGAGAAGGAGGAGGAGGATGAAGAGGAGGAGGAGGAGGAGAATGACAGGAGGAGGAGGAGGAGGTGGAGGAGGAGGAGGAGGAGGATTGGGGGCATGCGACCTCTTGGAGGCACGTGTTGGGTCCTCGAGGCAAACATGTGAGGAAAGGTGATCGATGCCAGCTCAATTTCCCACGTGCCCTTTTTGGTCCCGTCTTGGGACCTTCCTGGGCCGCCTTGGGGGCCTCTTGGGGCCCTCTTGGGCCGTCTCTGGACCCTCCTGGGCCGACGTGTGGCATTCTTGGGCCGTGGTGGGGCTCTCCTGGGCCGTCTTGGGGCCTCTTGGGGCCTTGTCTGACTGTTTTGGTTTCTCGTGGTGACATTTTGGCCCGTCCTGTGCTATCGGAAGTTCCAAATACCTCAACAACATCAATGTGTTTCGCCTCTCGAGCCCCTCTTGGGCGTCCTCTTGGACTCTTCTTGGGGCGTCTTGGAGGCTTCGTCGGCCGTCTTGCGGTCATCTTGGGCCATCTTGAGGCCCTCTTTCGAGACCTTCTTCGGCAGTCTTGAGACCGTCTTGTTTTGACCCTCCTTTTGGGTGCCTGTTTTGACCCCCCTCGGGGGGGCTTGTTTTCGATTTTTTTTTATCGTATGTGCAAATTCATGTGTGGAATTGCACAGAATCGGATCTGGAGAGGGAGGACGATGTTCGAATGATGGCCACTGAGGGGGGGGCGGCGGTTCTGGAAAACACTAAAGCAACCATTCCAGACAACAGAGGGGGACTCTAACACGCCCACTCCGTGCAGACACGGTGGCGGATCTTAGCGAACGCAGGGAGTTGGCGAGGCTTCGGCGAGGTTTTTGTTCGTTGTTTCCCCTCGGATCTATCTGCCATGAGCCTCTGCCAGGATTCGAAGACATCGAGGCGCTGCCATGCGGGATCCGGCTTGAAGAAGGAACACTGGCTCTTCACGAGGGTCTCGGTCGTTCCTTTGGTCTGCATGCGTTCCGCTACCTTTTGGGCGGCGAGCCTCCCCGGTGCTCCTTGGACAACAGGGGCTTCCTTCCCTGTTCATCCTTCCTTCGGTCAGGCCGAATCCTGTACCGCCATCTTGCCGCCAGTGCCCTCCGCCGCCCCTGCACCCGCCGAGCCGAGCAGGACCGTGCCCAGCGCCCTGGTCATCCGAGTCCTCCAGCGGGCGCCGCCCCCCCTCGCCGCGGGGGGGGGGTCGCCTGGGAGTCCCTGGCGCTCCTCGGCCGAGGGCGGCACAGCCCGCCCCCGCCCCCAGCCAGCACCCCCCACTTCCGAGCTGGTGCTCCAGGGGGTGGAGCTCGGTTGGGGGCCCCCTCCTCCTCCTCCTCCTCCTCTTCCTCCTCCTCCTCCTTCTCCTCCTCCTCCTCCTTGCCCTCCTCCTTCGCCTCCGTCTCCGCTTTCGCCTCCGCCGTGGCGGTGGCTCTTTGGCCCCCGAGGGTCCCGAGAAGCCCCCCGGCGCCCCCGGCCAGGGCGCCCCGGATCACCAGGTCGGGAGTGGGGTCTTGGCGGGGTGCGGTGTGTCGTGCTGTCCTCGTTGGCAGGGGTAGCGGTAGCAGATGTTGGCGCTGGGTTTGACATGCGTACGCTGCTGCTGCTGCTGCTGCTGCCGCGTCCCGGGCCTGGGAGAGCAGTTCAGTATCTCCATAGTTCCCTTACTTCGGTAGTGCCTTATGTTGGTCCCATGTGGCGTGCATCATTCTAGGCCTCCCAGGTGGGGTCGGAGTAGCTGGGGTCGGAGGATCGCGCCGCATCGCCGATGCATCGCCGATGCGGCTTGATGTGGAGTCCGATTTGCTTCACGTCGACGTCAGATGCATCGCCCACGTCGACGATGCATCGCCAGTGCATCGCCGATACATCGCCGATGCATCGCCGATGTATCGGCGATGCGGCGCGATCCTCCGTCCCGATCTACTCCGACCCCATCCAGGAGGCTTCTAATCACATAGGTTACTCTATGAGCTTTCAGAAGGGCTCGCATGCCGTTTCAAATGATCGTTTGTTTCTGGATTCATCCGCTGATGTTACGGCTTGCTGCCGACGGGTTGGGTTCTGCGATGGGTAACCTTGTGCTCCTGATATTCATCCCCTGGGGATAAGAAAGTTCGGGGTCCAGGCGGAATGATAAACGCTTTCCCGGAGATCTCAGCATAGTGATGAAGATGATGACAATGATGATGATCAAGATGATCGTGAACGTTCATAATAATACTTAATTGGTTTCTCATGGACGGGGGATGATGGGCTCGTTCTCTCTCCGTCCTCATGCGTCATGCGTGTTTTCACCGAGCAGCGAAGACGACAGGGGTGCCATCTGTACCATCTTGGACGCCGGCGGCGCATCACCGGCCGCTCCCTGGGAGTTTACCGAAGTGGCGCGCAGCATCGAAAGTCGTGACGCGTGGGTTTTGGGTCGGAGTCCTCATGGACGCTTCTTAGGGTCTCGCGAGAGGGCTCTCGGGGGCCTCTGCGGGGGAGTTTCGGGGCCTCTTGGGGGCCTCCTGGGGGCTTCGTGGGAGCCTCTTGGGGCCCTCTTGGGGCCTCTTGGGGCTCTCTTGGGGCCTCTTGGGGGCCTCCCGGGGGCCTCTGGGGGCCTCTTGGGACCGAAAGCTCGAAATGTTCATTCGGGTTCCCCTTCTGGGTGCCTTCTTGGGGCTGTCCTGGGGCCCCTCTTGAGCCGTCCCGGGGGCCTCTTGGGCCGTCTTGGGGCCCTCTTGGGCTGTCTTGGAGCTCTCTTGGGGGCTTGTTGGGCCGTCTTGGGGCGATCTCAGGGGCCTCTTGGGCCGTCTTAGAGCATCGGTAAGCCGAAATGGCGAGAACGCGAAAATCCTTCCCAAACCATCGACAAATCGAGGATTTGTGTCTCTTGGGGCTCTCTTGGGGGTGCTCTTGCAGGCCTCTTGGGGCGTCTCGGAGGCGTCTTGCTCCGTCTGGAGGCCATCTTGGGCGTCTTGGAGCGATCTGGAACCGTCTGGAGGCTCTCTTGGACTGCTCGGGACTCTCTTGGACCGGCTTGGGGCGCCCGTGGGTCGTCCCTGGGCCGTTTGAGACCTTTAGGGGGGGGGGGGGGGGCCTGCGTGTTGTCACCGAGCAGCGAAGACGACAGGGGTCCCATCTGTACCATCTGCAAGGGCTTCGCCCTCTGCTGCCGGCCCCCCTCCCTGCAAGGATGGGAGGGAGATGGCACAGCCGTGTCGGGGTGTCTGGGCGCCGTCTTGAAGGCATCTGGTCAGGTCAGAAGCCTTGCTCCGGACGGCGCGCGAGCAGGGTGAAACAAGACGACTGCGCCTGCGGAGGTGCTCTTCTGCACTCCATCCGCAGCAGGCTCTGCAAAGCATGTCTGGCTGATGTGTAAAATGGAGGAGGAGGAGAAGGAGGAGGAAGAGGAGGGGGGAGGAAGACGTCTGGCCGACGGAACAAAAAAGGGTCGTCTACGCCCACGTTGGCGCGCAAGCTGCCCGCGTGGGGTCGAGCTCGTCTCCGCTGTGGCCTGGCGCGCCAGAGGCCCGCGTGAGTCACCGCGCGAGGTTCGGAAGCCGTGCGAGGGGGCGCAAATCCGTGGCTGCTAAAAGTAAGTCGGGCCTGTCCCTCTACAGGAGGGATATCCAAAACCAGTAAGCAAATAGTATGGGGACGATTTTTTTGACAGTTCTTGAACATCTCTGGAAGATTGTTTTCGCCATTTCAATTTTTCGCCAAACATCTCCCTGTAGGGGGACAGGCCCGACCTAATGCTAAAACTGTCTTCCCGGAAGAAAGCAACTTCCAGAACAAAGCTGAGCGCGCTCAGCTAAATAGTAACGGTCTGTTCCCAGAAGGAAAATAACAAGCTCCCAGAGCTCCACTATAGCAGCCACGGGTTTGCCGGCCTTCCCCTGGCTTCTGAAGGGTCGCTGTGGCATCTCACGTAAGAGCCTTTTTCTGTGGTCGCTCATCTGAGAGCATAATGCGGGGACGGACATGGATCAGCAAAACTTTTCGAGAGGGCTATCATGGGACACCGCTGCATTCTTGGAGCGCTCCCCGCGCGAGTGCGGTGCAGTGTATGAAAGAGTCTGGCTTCGGGAGCGCGAGTCTGGCGTAGTTGACTAAGTATTCTGGCCTCGGGAGCGCCAGCCTGGTGTAATAAAAAGAGGTTCTGGCCTCGGGAAAGCGAACTCGGTTCAATGTATGAGGAATTTGATTCCGGGACAGGGAATATGGCGCGATTTGCGATGGACTCGGGCCTCGGGAGCGCGAATCTTGCGCAATGCAGCAGAGATTCTGGCCTCGGGAGTGCGAACGTGGTGCAATTTTCAAGGGATTCTGGCTTCGATCTGGCTTGATTTGCGATGGAATTTTGGCTTCGGCAGCGCATATGTTGCGAAGGATTCCAGTTCGGGGCACGTGTATCTACGGTAACTTACAACATGATATTGTTTCGGGGGCGCAAATATAATGTTTTCAAACGTGTCACAGACCATGTTGAACGGAGTTAATGGAGGGATAGTATAGCGAACGCTATATCTTGTCGACGCTGTTTTGACTCAAGGCAGCGCTGCCCTATTTGCCTGTTTATCGCCCGCGATACACTATCGATCCTGAGCGCCGGATAAAAGCCACATCCACCGATGGTCCATCTTTCCATCCCATGTATTGTCTCTTGTTTATAATCTTGCTCTATCACGGGAAGCACCATGGGATGTTGCGTTACGTTTCCGACGTTATCTTGATAGTAAGGGTCTCCGCCAATTCCATAACAGACAAGCCCCTGGCCCTTGCTTTTCACTCGGTGGCAGAGCTGTCTTCATCTTTGTGCGGCTGGCTCTTACATCATACGTTAGGTACAAATCAGTTCACCGCGGCACAGTGACGGACACGTCAGACCAGACACCCAGTCGCAACCCCATTTGTGCGACAAGCACCAATGATACAACACTTGGCATCGCATCAACTACAACATGGCCTTGCGCTATGTCAAGGTTGCAAGATTTGGAATCGCATGGGTGTGCCTACGTCTGGCCGTGAGATACATGCGAGGAGGAGGAATGGATGAAACACCCATTCGGGGCCCCTCTGTCGGACCCCGCAGGTCACGTATCCTTTCACGACTTGTTTCGTGAAGTACACGCATGGTTCAACGTCGCGAGCGGAAGCGTGACTGCACCCCAACAGGCCGCTGCATTACAGCACGGCCTAAGGGCTTAGCTGGGACATTGGCTATGAGGTTGCCGTGTACCATTACCAACTACGGTGTAATCTTACAGGGTAGACGCACCGACGGAGTCACATACATCACGTACCTTCTAAGCGCCAGATTTGAGCACCTTGAGGACGAACGACAGCTCACCTCGGGGACAGCCCTCATCGACTTCAGGGTCGATAGGGGCGAACGCATCCACTCAGTACTGGCCAGTCTTGGAATGGCCAGGCTGAGCGGACTCAGCGGGCTTCAACATACCCAATTTCCGAATCCTGGCGCTAACTGGCGCTAATTATACTTCGTGCCTTGGGAGTTGGTAGCACAGCTACTGCAACCGCTCAGCCACCAGATGCCCCGTACCCAGCAACAGTACGACGAACTTCTGTAGCGCATGCGCAGCCATCGGCACTTGGCTGAGCGCTCCCCAGAACATATCGGGGGCATCTTCATCGGTCGCAACGCTGGCACATGCCATGCCGAAGTAAGCGACGCACCGGCAGCCGCGCCGAACAACGTCTGGAAAGATGGGGAGCCCACTGCATGCACAACGTTTCTGGGCCATGAAGCCAATCGCGCACAGGTTCCTGTTTCTAACGCCGGCTGGCCATCGGCCGCCAGTTACGCGCGGCCCGACCCGACCGCCCTTCGGGGTCCCCCCAGCCAGCGAGAAGAAGAGGAAGAAGTCTTCGACTCTGGCACGGATGCCGATACTGCTTTCTCAACTGGTGCCGGACGCCTTGTCTGGCCAGACCTAATTACCCGCTGGCGACGACGCGGCAGCAACATATCTGCACCTGGGATATCATCATGCCAGAAGCAGGTGCAGGCCGCGCATGAACAAGCCAGTGAGGAGATTTAGGCAAGCAGTCCGTCGTGTCTTCTTTCGTCAGGGTAAGGATCGTGGGATGGGTGGTAGACGCACCCGTCGATTGCGCGGCGAGGGGCTGATCGCGTTCCTAGCAATGTTAACCGACCACGGCTTT